AGATAGGCATGCGCTGAAATTACAACACATCAATTGTCTAATGTTATGGCACACATTCAAAAACAATACAATAAATGCATTCAATTAAATGAAGATTTAGTTGAAAATTCCAGAATTTAATTTAATTCATGTGTGTTAATTTTATTTTATTGTATTTTTTGTAAATTTTATGTTAATTTCTCGTTCATTTTTCTGTCTGTTTCATTGTATTTTGGTATAATGATGTCTATTAAACGTGTTATTAAATATTTGTTGTGATTGATTTATTATCGCATGGGTTACTAGATAAAAAGTTTCTTTATGCATAATAAACAATTTGACAGCAATTTAGCCGCAGAATCGTTAATGTTGAATATTTTTTCATGAAATTTGGTACAGATCCATTTCAGGGGACGCCAAATCCAGTGGCGTACGCAGATTTTTTCTAAAAAAATCGCTAATATGGATTCTGGATTTTTCAGCCTCTGAATGTGATCTAGTAGGCCTTAGTTTAAAAAAGAACTAGACGGCGCTTAGCTCCAAAATACACTTTTCCCCCCTCTACATTTCAAAAAAAATTTCGTCAAAATCGCTCCATAAATAAAAATGTTATGAGGGTGGCCCGCTTTCAAATGGGTCACTCTGTATATATACGTACCAATATTTCATTTTTTTGAAGCGAATTATTAATGCGCTTATAAAATTAACAAAATTATGACTTATAAGTTATAATACATATATCTAATGTGTTCTTATAATCTTGTGCCAAAAAAATACAAGGTGTATTTATCTCAAAAAATCAATTTTTCATATCTTTTTAAATTCATGTTCAGTTGATTTTTTCATTGAATATTCCGATTCCGTTGTAACATCAGTACATTTTGTTCCATTCTAAAATTTTAAAACCAAAAAAATAAATCGCAATAAAATCATTATTTTATTGCGACCACTCTGTACATGCCGATTGGGCATTTTTATGATCACTGGAATAAACATTTAACTCAAAATATATTTAAACCATTAATAATGCAATTATGTGAAACCATAACCAAATATCGTAAGTGGTAACCCAAAACAATGCGGTATTTATGGCAGGCATCGCTTGGTATCACTCATATCAAAAGTTGGCAAATTTTTTGAATATACGATAAATGAAAGGAATTAGAAAATGTTATGACAAACGTGTAGGTATTGTTTGTTTTTTTTTGTCAAACATGTGTTACCTATTCTACTATTCGAATTGCTTATTTAGTTGATAATTAATAGATTTGTCTCTTTTACATGTTATGACACTTTATGTTAACATGGGTTTCAGAGTAAATAAATATTTAATTAATTAAAAATCTGCAGCAACAAAAAACTGAACAAATACACACACACAGCCTGCTATTTTCTGCAATAATTTCTCATATTTCATCAGTTTGTATATTATCATGTATGACAAACAACCTATTATAATCAGCTTTCTACAACAGCATTGTCAAATTAAAAAAAATCAAAGGCACTAAATACATTGGCAAAACCTGCCCCTAACATATTTTAAAAATAACGTACATACATATAAATAACTGTTATGCTCATTCGAGCTATAGAGATTTTTATTAAGAAAAAAAATTTACTTACATAACTGTATGTCAGCCTTAAAACATGTACTTAAAAGAATGTGAATGGCATAAATAGAAAACAAGAATCCATCCTTTGTTAAGTCGTCATTGTAGCACACAATAATAAATTAATGGCTCTTCTAACAAAAGTAAAACAGCATAATATTAATACTACATTTTTTTTTTTTTGAAAACGTGAAAATTATTAATCAATAAAATATTCGTGGGTTTTTTATTTTATTATTAAATTTCCGTAGATATGTAGAATGTCAATAAGAAAAAAAAAACGAATTATTATAGAATTCTTTTGGAATTTACTACGTACAGTGGTAAAAAACATAATAATCGATACGGAAAACTCATAAAATTCAATTGGGTTTGGATTATCACATAAACAATTGGGCTCTTACGGTAATAATCCAATTAATTAAACTTACAAGAGTTGTTGTTTAATTGGAAAACAAGTTCTAATATTTTAATTATAAATAATGAAGGTATCCACAGGTATATACCTATAGATTCATGATTCATAACATTATGAGCAAACAACCTGAAGTGTTAACGTCATGGGTGTTTTCTCCTGGCAACATTGTTTAAAATCTGTCGAAGCCCCATATACAAATACGTAATATTATTAATAATATAAACAAAATGATCCATACCTTATTTTTAAAGCTATTGTTGAACCACTGATACATACATATGTCACAAATTTATCATTTGAGACGGGAACTTTCACAAATGCATTAAAAAATTGTAAATTAATTTCCATCTCTAAAAAAACAGAATCCCTAACTAGGTGATTGTAAGACAGACAACAGTATGTAAATTTGTATTTCGATCACTGTAATATCAGAATCAGAGCACTTAGATTAAGTGTTCCTCAAGGATCTTTTTCTTATGGAGCACATAACATATTTAGCACATTTCATTATGTGTGTGGATGATATATCTCTAATAATTTCTAATACTACATCGGATGGAATTAATCCAACAGAACTGAAAACAAATTTTCACGTCATTAAATAATTATTTTTTTCAACATCACTATCAGATTCCTAAGGCAACAGGCAACTCAGGTTATACGATTTCATAACAGACAAAAAAGATGTGACAATTTAAATATTAATCTCAGTAAGCTTAAATGCGATAAAACTGTCAAGTTTCTTGGAATTCACTTACAATTAGATTTAGATGAATGTCTTAATTGAAAATATCATCAAAAATATCTTCTTTGGCATATTAAATATTTATTTCGAAATCATAAACTATTTTCAAATTGATTCTCGTTTAAGTTGCCGTGCCTGTTTCTAGAACTATTCAACATTAACTTGGAGTTTTTATGTCTCATAATTTTGTATATAGATCTCTCTAAACATAAACATAACTTTGTTTTCTATAGTTACTATCATAATGTAAATACAAGACAGCAGAATAAGTTGTATGAACCACAAATTGTAAGACAAAGTACGACGGAAACAGTATTTAAAGCTTTGGTTTGTCAGAACTGTGCGTCGCAGACGACTGTAGCGTTAAACTTTATCGGTTTTAAAGGAGGGTGTTTTGTTAGATTTAGTGCTTATGATTGCATGCTGATAAGTGCAGACGAAAATATTTATTATTATTTTGGCAAACATTTTTTTTTCATGACAATGGCTGAACATTTTTTGCTGACAATACTTATTGAAAAATAACATGAAAAAGATCTTTTAAATTTGATTACTTGTCGTCGTCAAAATAAAAATGAAGATCGAATGAACAGACGTTTGGAAGGGACGGTATACAATGGGGGCAGTTTTCGTACGAGATCGATTAATTTCTCGTCTTTCTCTGGTGAAAACTTGGTTGCCATTTTAAAATTCGTTAAAAATAAATGCCTTTTTAGCACTGTACGCTGTCAGCTCAACTGAACGGCTGCGTTGAAATCAAATCGAATTTGATTTCAACTGAACCGACGACGCACATAATTTTCTGCCTATCGTGAGTCCACCTAAGCAGACTCTAACAAACCAGCTACCCATCTTCTTGTGTTCTTGATTCCAACTTAAGTCCGACGCGCACAACTGACTGCTTTGCGTCGCCTACAGCTCTAACAAACCATAGCTTAAGAGGCCGAATGAATTTTTAAAAGTGTTTTTATTCTTTAAAAGCATTTTAATTAAGTAGATGTTAGATTTAAGTTTATGTGACTATTTTTATACAATATTGTCATAAAAGAAAAATTATTAAATAAATAAATATAGCCCATACCTCTTAGGCAAAACAAAACATTTCATCTTTTGCAATTAATTTGTACAATTTCATGAATTTTCCATCAGTTCTGATTACCTATTCTCTATAGAATTGAATTCTTTATCATCTCTTACTATGAGCCAAACTAGAAAATGTTTGGGTTTGTTGTTTCTGAAGATATTGTTAAAAAACTGACTAGTCATTAAAGATTTCCCAAATATCAAAAAAATGTTATAGGTATTGTAAAACTTTACTTCTGGTCGCAAACTGGTATCTGTACTATGATATTTATGCAAATAAAACAAATATCTGAACGGCTATATTTTTATGCTGGTAGCACATCAATTAAACCGCGAACAAACTGTGGCGGCCTTGGTTTCACTTTCATCAAAGAATATGCAAGTAATATTTAATAGCGGCTACTGGCGATGCAAATTGCAGATGTACCGTGGATATAGGTGCATCGGACATTCTTACCCGACGCAAAAGGTCGTCCGTTCCATTCCCCCATAATACATATCAGGTTTGGCAGGTTCACAAAATCGTATGCACCTGGGTTACTGTCCGATTTCGTGGAAAATTTCATTACTCTAACATAATTTATTTTTGTAATGTGGATACCAGGAAACAACCATTACATGTATATACATAAATCCTATCGCAAATGAAAGATCATGAAATGCGCGAACAAATAAAAAATGTATAAACAAATATGAACCCGTTCTTCCTTTTATTGATACATTATGCAATTTGTATACAATAAAAATACACTCTTACATATTCATGTGACTAACTGCTGTAACAATGGTTACATTTAAGGTACTTTGACCTGAGCAGCTGATATGCCGTTCCAATTCTCTTAATTTCAATTAAGATATTTAATTAAACGGAAAGAAGTCAAGGATTTTTCACTAATATTCCGCCAAATAGAAATCACCTTGAAACATTGCTTTTCAATATTTCCTCCTTGGAATACCTATTTACAATTACCTACATTTTAAAGTTTTTTCCGATCAAATGTGTCCTAGAATTTCTGTGTTAATAAAATATGCAGTAAACCCGCCACTTCGAATCTATAATTACATTAATTGTTCAACAGTCACGGTCGTTTGTAAAAGTTTTCGTACGATATTTTAAGAAGGTTTAAAACGTATAAATTTGAATTCAAGGTAATATTTCAAGTGTTGGCCTAAATGTCCAACGAGTACGAATATAAACAGTTAAAATCTAATGATTAAGAAATCTGAAATAGATCATGAAGTGTTTCATCCAGTAATGGAATATTTGTTGATAATTCTTCAATTTTAATTGACAATTTTAACTATTTTTTTCTCGTAGAGAATGGGTAGCATTCCACAACTGTCTATCATAAAAGGACCTACAAGACAACTGACACCAAATCTATTGCATAAACTTTTCGAAAATGTTGCCACGGGACTTGCAGCAAACCGTATCGCTCTTATATTCAATGGTAAGTTGTTAATCGCGCAAGGAATTCTATCTGAATTCTCTAAATATTATTACTCTCTTTATATTTCCAGAAAATGGCCAACTGAGACAGCACACCTACGCCGAATTGGATAAGATAACAAACAAGATAGCTAAGACCATCCAGCAGTCAATTGTTTCCCACAGCCTACCACGAAACGCGGATGGAGACTACATTGTGGCAGTGAACATGCAACCCAGCGATCACCTTGTGATTACTCTTCTAGCAATCTGGAAAGCTGGGGCAGCCTATTTGCCTTTGGACAATGCATTTCCTGGGGCCCGAATAGAACACATAGTGAGGGAGGCGAAACCTGCTATTATCATTTATGATCAGGGTAATTTACGCAGCTTAGAAATGTGCAATATACGTATATTAGCGAATCCTTTAAAACTTTCAGATTCCGATTATTATATGAACACTTTCAAGATGTGTTTTGAAGAGCTTGTAAGCCAAAGTAACGATCAACCGATCGACGCCTTGAAGAAAGAAGAGAGAGTCCGACACATAAAGGACGATCTTGCCATAGTTTTGTATACTTCAGGAAGTACAGGAGTTCCAAAAGGTATGTAGGTGTATGTTAAATTAAGCCTTAGTCAAGGTTAAAACTGAAAATTATCTAGTAGTATGTTTCACTCGAAATTAATACAGAGGCATAGGTTACTTCAAAGGGATATAGAGAAAAAAAATTAGACGGTTGTTGGCACTCTATCAAACTATGACGTTACCACAATACCAGAACAAAAATACAAATTGGCCGATAAGGACAAAGTAGTGTCAGTGAAGGCCATGAAATAATCTGGCGCATAGTAGTATTCCATTTACGTTATTTAGATAAAATATTATCGCATTTCTTCTTAGGAGTTCGTCTACCACACAAAGTAATCCTGAATCGTCTCCACTGGCAGTTTAAAAGATTTCCGTACAGCGACACGGAAAAGGTGTGCGTTTTCAAAACTGCCCTCACCTTCGTAGACAGCGTTTCGGAGATCTGGGGACCCCTCATCAACGGATTGTCTCTTATCGTGGTACCCAAAGCGCTCACTAAGGATCCTGAGAAACTTATAGGTCTTTTAGACGAATACAAGGTAACAAATAATACATCGGTTGAGACCGTTCTCGCTAAAAAAAAAACGTGTACCTACACATACAGGGTGATTCAGAACTTATCAAAAAAAAAAATTCTGGATGTACAGGGAATACACAAATACAATTTTGTAAAGAAAAAATCAAAAAGGGCAGCTCGAAAATGGTTTAAAAAAATACACTTCTGCACGGCACTGGAAACTGGTCCACTTACTCACTTTCTACGAATTAACACAAATGATGTCTTGTTTCACCATAACACAAACGCTTCACCATAAATTAAAACAATATCCATCAACTCCGAGTACACGCAAACCATTTTTGACACTAACTACCCATTTTTGACACCAACTACTAAAAACGTATTATAAGAACCACAGATAATAGTTAAGTATCGCAACGACGATTGCAAAATCCGAATTCAGTATTCGGAGTCGATGAGGACACATGGCGAATGATGCTAGAGACTACAGTTGTCCAGCTATGTAGTGGTTGAATGTACTATAACTTCAATTTTTTTTTCTCGGAAACTATAAGGATTTTTCAAAATTTTTTTTTACGATATTGATTCCATTTCTCATCTATTCCCAATTTCTTTTTGGATAAGTTGTGAATCACCCTGTATAATTTGAAAGACTGCTACGTTACATTTGCTTCACAGCAAGAAAATTATGGGTCACTTTGTAGAGAGCGCATTAAATTTTCAAAGAAGTTTGTCCTGTTGAAAACGTATTAAGGCTGAAACAATCTCGGTATTGATAACGATGTTAAAATTAATGATCAAGTAAGAAGGGGATAATTAATTAAACAGCTTTCAGCTCCTGGAATAACGATAGCGTAAGCATTCCTTGTTGAAATAAAAATGATTGTGGAATCAATGTCAATAATTGAAATAAAAAGAATGTTTACAAAATCTATATAAATTGTAGGGGTTAAACATATAAATTAAATTCGCAATATAAGTCAAATTTAACGAACGTGAACATAAAATGGAAAAACATATGTTTTTTTTATTTAGATACATTATATTTTATCATTTTTTCCATCATTTGGAAAATCCTGAGATATTAAAATATAACACGTTCAGTGAAAAAATAAAAAATGATGGTAAAGCGCCAAGTGAAACATATCTTTGGCTATTAGGTAATGTAAGAAATATAATTTTCAGATTGAGCGGCTAGTATTGGTTCCATCGCTACTGAAATCACTACTGATATTTTTAGAGATACGGGTAAGTTACCTCCCTTCTATTTATTTACTGTAAAAATCTACTAACAAACGAAAAATCACAAGGTAGAATTCCAGAAAATGACGAAGCGAAATATCAAGGTACCCGTGACCGAAATAACCGATAAACAACATTAACTTTATCATAAATGCTATTTTCTTTTTTTCGGTTCGTCAATTTTTTTAAAGGAATGCACAGCATTTTAAGCGCTTTATTCTATGAACATTTATAAAGAATTTAGTCCTTACTTTGGTCAGACCTAAAAAAACGTTTTATATCTAAATAAGTAACATATTTATTATTACTGTTTTTTTTTCAAAATGAAATACTTCATTCTCTTGCTTTTTTTTTTAGAAGAATAAAATGGCACTTAGGAACCTTAAATTGTGGGTTTGCTCAGGAGAAACGTTGCCGGTTTCTCTGGCTGAAGAATTTTTCAAATATTTCCCCGAAAACCAGCACCTACTGTGTAACTTTTATGGGAGCACGGAAATTATGGGTGATGTTACCTTTCACGTCGTATCCGGTCTTCAGCAATTGAAACACCAAAGTAGAGTTCCGATCGGTGAGTTGCGAATTTTAAGAATGGATTTGATTTAATATAATAATAAATTATTATCACAATTTTCAAGTTGTACAAAAGTCAGGTTAATTAAGAAACATCGACATAATTTTGTGCACAGAATACTTATCGCAAATTGCACTGTTTACAACTCCTTTGAATTTATTTATATTTAGTTTTAATAATGGTTTTGTAAATCGAGTAAATTTTATAGAGTTGAACAGAACAGTATAACTAGAACAATCAGTTCGTGCGAGTTGGTGTAATTTGATGTTCGTGGTTATAGTTTTTTGTTGCAAGCACGTATGTATTAATACTATTACCACATTAAGATTTCTCACATCAAAAAACCGCCGGTTACCAAATTTTGTGCGAAAAATGTATCTTTCGTAAAAATTATTTAAGAAAATCGAAAATAAAATTTTAATTTCAACGCCCTGTATCTCAGAAACGAAGCATTTCCGGACAAAGGTTTACATAAACTTTTTTTCTTAGAATTAACTCAGGAATACCCCCCTTAAATATTTTAAACTGCTTAGGTTACACCCATTTTGAAGATAATCGATCTACTTTGATATTTTTTATTTCTATAATCACTGAATTGCAAAATTAAAATCTATTAATATATAACCAATTTGAGACGTTATCAAACGTTTTAATTGTAGGTAACTTTAATAAAAATTTTACCGATTTCTTAGACAAAAAATGCACTTGGAGGTTTTTCGGGTACATCTAAAGTCTAACGAGAGTTTCTGTAGATTCGCTAGTGACTAAAGTAGTAAGCCTTTAGATTTGACAACGTTGCACTTGGCTGGCTCGCTCGCGTTCGATCATTCTGTTTGCTTGGACACCTGCAAATTTTAAATAATACGCTATACGTCGAGACCACGGCGTTGCCGCTATAACGCATAATGGAGGATAAGTTAGTCAACGACAGCAGTTTGAAGGAGAATTATTATAAATTATGTATCTTACAAGTACCTAATCGATTTCTACGAGCTGTCATACGGTTCCTTAGATATCGGTTTCCTATTTATACATGTTGCTGTAAAAACTGTTTGTCAATTGCTGCGCATTCTAAGTGGCAAAACCAAAAGAATCTGCACTCATAAGACTGTACTAAATCGTGAAAAAATATTTTATTATATCTCGCCTCTTAGGTATCCAAACTAGTCATAATTTTGTTTGAGGATTTTCTTCATATTAATAACCCACTAAACACGAAACGTAAATGAAACGTTGCAAATGAGATGTTTTACTAAACATTTGAAACATTAACTAGAAACGTTTCTGTTTCATTACAGAAATGTAGCACTTGAAAACTTATTTAGTGAAACATAGCCGAAACGTTACAATTGAAGAGAGTTTGAAACATTACTCGAAACATTCCCTTTCGATCTCGGAAACATAACAGACGAACAACCCTTTGCTATTTTTGCTTATCTTATGGAACATTCGGCATTAGTTAAATTTTGCTCTCAATCCCCAATCCTTCTCAAGCGTTAGTTCATTTGCCTTTGTTATATAAAGACATAATTAGAAAAAAAAATGTGGTAGCATATTTATAACACAAGTCTAGAAAAAATGTATGTTCGTGACTTGCGTAGACTGCGCGTAACAGCCCGAGTTTATTTGTTTCCCGTGTGTCGTTTCAATTCGTATTATGTTAGGTTAGGTTTGCGGTTTGTCAGTTTGCTTGGTTTCGTTGTTATTCATCTTTACTTTGACGCTATTTTATGTGATAATTTGTAGTGTGTGCAGTTGTGGTTATTGTAAGGTGCATATAAAATAATGAATATTGATGCAAAATGTTTAAAACGATATGTGTAGAGATTTCCAATTTTGCGTCACATCTACCTAAATATAGTTATACCCACTACCTATTACAGACAAGAGGACAAGGGACAAGAACTAAGAAAATGGAACAACAACTATACGTTTCGATATAATTTGAAGAGCAACTACTTAGTCAGTGAGAACTATTTGAAATATGGATGAATCAAGTGAAATAGACGTCATTTATTTTATATTTTGTACAAATGTTTATATTTGTTTATGTGTATAGGCATGCTTAAATAAAAGAGTTTAGGTATACCTACAGATATTTACTTTGTCAAGATATCATTTTGTATCCTTATTTCTGCTGTATAATTTATTATTATTAAAAGGATATATGTAATATTGACCATGCGTAGAAGAAATTATAACTTTATATTATTTTTCAGTAATGTTATTTGTTTTTCATGTACCTACCATTTTAAGATTCATAATCATAACTAACTTTTTCTAATTATCAGTTCGTCATTGTTACCATATTCATGAAGGTCTCAACATTAGAAAATTTCCATTTCAGAAGCGTATTTGAACTATATAAAATGTGTAGCTTTTTTTTAATGCTTCTGATATTGTTTTGTGATATTTTTATTTGTACGATGAATGGCAAAATTCATAATCCATATTAGAAACTTTTTTCAGTGGCTTCTCAAAAAGAAAGAAATTCTTAGTAAAAGTTGCCGCATCCCCAAACTAGAAGAGCATATTTATTTTTTTTAATATACAATGTAACTTTTTTTAGTTCGAATTAAGTCATTCACAATACAAATAAAAATATCACAAAGGAGTATTAGAGATATTTAAAAAAATACTCACACTATTTATACTATTTCAAAAACGCTTTTGAAATGAAAATGATCTAAAGTTGAGAGCATTATGAGAACAATATGGTAATAAAATTATTATGTTACTCAAACATTTCTGAAAATATACTGAAACGTAAAACAAAAATATCGAGGGCATAAATGGAACATAAAAAGAATGTTACTGAAACCAATTTTTTGAAACGTTTCATTGGAAACGTATTTTGGGGAGGACATCTTGGGCTTCTAGAACGTTACCAGAACGTTGCATGGGTTTTTTATGAAACGTTTCAAGAAAAATGGAAACGTTTCTGAAACATGTCAGAAACTGAAAAATGTTTAGTGGGAAGCTTATATTAAATTTTTTATGAATATTTGTTTGTCAGTTCCAAATCAGATAAACCTCCTTAACAGGATGGTAAAATTCATCTAAAAGGATCAAAGTACCTAAGCTGACTACTTTAAAATGTGAAACGTAAGAATATATTTTAATTCTGAACCACTTTTCTTAATGATTTTTTAAATATTATGCGAAAAAGGTATTTAATTTTTCATAAATAAAAATATCCTATGGATTTTAACATGAACAAATTCGTTACCCAAAATGTCAAATTTGTGTTAAACAATTTACTCTTCGCACGATCTGGGACATGACAACCTTTACATTTAAATGTTGGAAAAGAGTTTTTAATTACCGTGTTCAAAGAAGAAATCTATTGTTAGGTACCATACCTATTTATATTTCTAATCATTTATTGATATGAGGCGATCCCTATATGTTGGCCTGCTTGAAATTTCTACTCTTTGTACATCTGAACACAAGCATAATTTTTTAATAAGAAAGCATATTTTTCATAAAATAAAAATATGTAGTTTACTCTCCGAAATTTTGATGACAGCAGCGAAATACCCTAAGCTGTTTAAATATTTGTTTTTTCCACAGTTGCGCTAAATTTTCGACATTACTAGTGCTATTAAATGCAACTCCATTCCATCATTCCACTAAAATTGAATTATTTCCTTCCCAGGCCTCCCCGTGGACAACACGATTATCTACCTTTTGGACGGTGAGTTCCGGCCTGCCAAAGCTGGAGTTGTGGGCGAGCTCTTCGTCTCTGGACTCAATTTGGCCGCCGGTTATGTCAACGGCAGAGACCCCGAAAAATTCTTAGACAACCCCCTAGCCATCGATCCTACTTACGCCAAACTCTATAGGACCGGAGACTTCGCGCGCGTGGAGAAAGGAGTCCTGGTATACGAAGGACGCACCGATTCCCAAGTGAAGGTACGCGGCCACAGGGTGGACTTGGCCGAGGTCGAGAAGGCGGTAAACTCTCTGGAAGAGGCGAGTTAAAGTTCCTTTTTTTAATTTTAATTTTTAATATAATAGGATTAGGACGTTCGCGGCGAGCATTTTGAACATCTCCTACATCGACAGTAATGTTTTTTTTGCTTTTTTATATATTAATAAATAAACAGTATTACTTATTAGTTTTTGAGTATGTGTTATAGCGAATTTTTGTAATCAAATAATTTTCTAATGTTAATTTTTGCAATAAATCTAAAAACACTTAATATTTCCGAAACAGTTGAGGATAGGTAGGTATAGGACATTGTACATGAAATATGTCTGGAATTTTCTGAAGAATCCCAAAATTGAATAATATTCAGGGTGTTGCATTTAAAAAAAAGAAGGTTGGTATTGACCACTGTTACATGACACAGCCTGTATAAAAAAATTTTGCTGAAAAAAATGCGCAACTAAAAATACTAATCGACGTGTCCGAGCGTTTTTTCGAACACGCCCCCATTTATTTATTATCGAATTTATTCCATTTGGCTGATACACACTGGTTAACATACATGAATAAACAATCAATATCCCCCGATCGACGTATGAATCTACAGTGGATTTACCGGGCGTATAAATGTCGAAAAAACCGTCGTTTACAAGCGGCCTTATCGATTGATATCGTTTTATTATAGTTCATTTAAAGGAAAAAAATAAACTTAAACAAAAAAGTTTTAGTTAAAAATGTAGTCAGCGCGCGAGTAAACTAACTTTTCTTCAATGTGCCGTGTTTCATTTATGTGAATAATTATACGAAAAATTTAAAAGTTTGAGTATTATGTAATATCTTTAATCCTAGCTGGTCAATCCTTTCTAAATTGTTACATAAAACGTATTCCTACACAAATTAGTCTTGCCTAAATTTGAGCAGTTTCTCCAATGGAGAGAAGTACTTAGCTACAGCAACGTTAAACAGGGTCACCCTGTAGACATTTATTAAAAGAATATTCTTGTAGTCTTTAATTTGCGATAATTCGCACACAGCCTCCTGCATCTACAAGCCATGAAATAACAAAGGCAACACCGCATTATGTTAGACCCGTACGTAAGTTGGATCGTTTCGCGTTGAAAACAAAGATCGGCGACCTAGAGTACTGTGTTACTGACTGTTTTATTAAAATGTAAAATATGAAACTATGTACGTATATGTAAATTAGCCAGCAAATTAGAGTTGAGATCTGCTTGATCAATTAAATATTACAATATTTTTCGCATTCTAACATCTGTCCAAAAAAAGTAATATCCAATTGTTCACAAAACCAGCGAGAAGGTGCAAAGTTATAGTCATTTTATGATAAATGTTAAATATCATATTATCACCGACTAGAACATAATATTTGAAATGTGTAGGGGTATACCAATACCCCAAAAAAATATAATTAAACATGTAATTTAGCTAGGTGGGGAAAGGAAAGTAGGGAAGGGAATAAAAGGTTCAGGAATGTAATTCAAATTACAGTAAGACCCCGCTTAACGCTGTTTCGTTTAGCGCTGATTCGGTTTAGCGCTCTTTTATTTCAACCCGGGGATTCCCCAAAATTGCTCGCAGCACTACGGGGATTCCCGGAAATTGTGCGCAGCGCTAGGTTTCCAAATATGTACATAACCTATCCGAAACAGTGTAGTTGTGTTTCTTGTTTGGTGCGGTGCTGTCCGGACGCATTTTTATTAGTTGATATAACTATAACTGAAATTATGGACCAATTTGTTGAAAATGATCCAAATTTTGACAGGAGTTCAAAAGCAAGACGGTGTGTTATAGATGCTTTATCCACTTATCAACAACTTCTAAGAGAACACAAAAGGAAAACGCAAACTACATTAGATGCCTTCTTGACAAAAAGGCAGAAAATTGGAAACAGAATAGACTGAATGATCTGACTGACTTGGAATTTTATTTGCTTTTATAAGTAATATTCGTTTATATTGTTTTTATTTTTGTAAGAAATAAATGTTTGGTTTTATTTTTTTAAAAAAACATAATTATTAAATTTAATACCAAACCAATTTTCTATCCATCTTTCCCTAACTCCATTATTTACATGTTAAGATAGCCTCGTTTAACGCTGTTTCGCATTACGCTCTACTTTGATGGAACGTATCCTACGCGTTAAGCGGGGTCTTACTGTAAAATACAAAGCGGTTACAATACACCAAACCGAAATAGAGTAAACCTAATGACTGATAAAATTTATTGTATGTATCTTTTTTTGAAGCTTTCAATCTACTTTGTTCCACGCCTCGGTTATTCTAAGTTTTTACATAATTAATAATATATTGACAAATATGGAACTTATTTTTCGTACAAGGATATTTATATTGTTTCCACATATACAGGTATTTAAAAATTCCAAATAAGAATTTTCTGTTGTTAAACTCTGTGCAGTCAGACTAATAAGTAATTCTTTTTAATTTTCGATTTCAAAAAATTATTTCACACTTACTGTAATTAATTAATTATGTTCTCTAAAACTGTATACAGATGGAAAAATCACTGTCACATCATTTGTTGGTACTGATAGACCATCACGTTGCAAACAATGAAAATAATTATTTGCAATGATATTTCCTTTACTTTGGACAATACTGAATCATTATTTTGTTATACAAGATAATTTCTTCGCCAATACACAAGAAAAGAATGCATCTCGACCAGAAATATAAATCTTGATTGCACCGTCTACATCACATTCAGACAACAATAAACAAAATATTTCTGAAAATTTCTCAATATGAATACTTACATATTGTTATTTTGATTTAGTTTTTGATTATCGTCTAATATGTCATCATTTTCGAAAATTCCAAAGTGCAATTTTAAATCATTAAATGAAATTTCTCTGTTTGGCTTACAATTAGCTATAATTTTTTAAGAAATATGTTTTAATCTAATAGTACTTCATCAAAAGATACATACACACATAATTGTCTATAAATTCCAAATCTTTTTTTTTCCAATTTTTTCCAATTTTCCAGGAAGAATATAAGAAATAGAGAATTTTGCAAAGCAAGTTTTCCACTAAAGCTTCCGTATCGATTAATTTGATATTATTGATTCTCACGTCTACTTTCAGGATCAGTTCGAACCAAGGTTCGTACAGATTTCTTTGTTGATATTTCGGCAAATTTGAAAAAAAAATTGATGGGACAGCGTTATTTAGTGCACAAAGGAACGATTTCAAATATCCCATCCGATTTAAATAGTTTTTCAGTTTTTATTACCTCATTAGAATGAAAATGCAACTCACATAGGTATACTCCAGAATATTTGGTAGATGTCCAGTTGTCCGCTTTCCCTAGGAATTGCTCTAAGCCACTTTTTATTTAATTTGTCACTTTTAGAAAATGGCAAGTTACTTTTTGCACCTTCATTATTTATACACGAGTAATAATTTGACTTACATCCCGCGATAGAACACTTTCGCGCCATAGTTATGTAATTGTAGGTTAGAATTAAGAAATTAGGAACTGTAAATTATACTAAACGACTAATTTAATGTAGTTAATTTAACACGACCGATAACACAATAAAACAACTGTTTTTAGTTAATAATGCACATTTGCATAACTATTAACTAAATAAGCACTAGCCTTAACAGGCGACTGTCAAAAACGCCTAGAATAGAACAGTTACAGTAGAAATGTCATTTAAATTTTAGAGATGTAGGATTGGATGTCGGAGGCTGGGAGTGGGGATCAGCCTACGACACGACACGACCATGTTGCCACTTCTTCTTTCTTCTACTTATTTCGCGGTTTGTAGATGTAGGTGTAGGAGGCACTGGCACAGCTTAATAATAAACTGTGGTTGTAGTTTATACATACATAGGTACTAAGTTTTTTTACATACTTGTTCTTATCTATATCTTTACATTCACTCATTTTAAATATCTATATGATTCACGCAAATTGATATATTCATCGAGTAAATTCTATGAAAGCCTTAAACACTGTGTATTCTATTAAACTGAAGTGAATTCTTAAAAAATTAGGTATATGAGTTCTGCAGTCAGTGTACTGCACACGATATTTTTTAATGATCACCCCCGCGTTAGATCACTAACTAAATAAGTAAGTAATGATGTGTATTTTTTTAGGTGGACAAGGGAATCGTTCTCTGCTACAAACCAGGCGAATTGAACCAAACCCTCTTAGCTTTTGTGACGTCCCAGTCGCTCATGAGTGAACAACAAATAGAGGCAGCTCTCAAAGAAAAACTAACAAATTATATGGTTCCGCAGGTCATACTCATCGAAAACATTCCTTTGCTTGTCAATGGGAAAATAGACAGACAAACTTTGCTAAAAAGTTACGAAAGTACAAATAACAACGGTGAGTTTGTAACAGTCAAAACTCAACAAAGAAATGATTATCATTAATTTATTTATTTAGATGATTGCAGTCCTGAAGTGGAAATCAACTTTCAAGGAGTTAACTGTGACCAAATGGAAGCAGCGAAAATACTTTTTGAAACGGTAGCTTCAGTTTTAAATAGAGCCGCTAGAGCTGCCATATCTATTAACGCTAACTTTTACGAGATAGGCGGAAATTCTCTCAACTCAATCTACACCATTTCCAGATTATGTGACAGTGGATACCACATAAGTAAGTGAAAAATGACAAACTTGGCATTTCTATCTGGAAATATAAAATTTAGTGTGATGAGGAATCATTGTGATATCTTTTTGAATTTTAGATATTGGGGACTTTATTGCCGCTATGGATTTAGGTGAAATATTGCTACGAATGACGTCCGATACAAAAATTAAAACGCAACCCCCCAGCTTTTCTTCTGAACTCCTGCAGCCTGGATATAAAGACATTGTGTTGGAGTAAGTGTACACACTTTATTCCAATAAGAGTTTATTTAAAATTATGGTTCTTTCTTGCAGCATGATCACAACAAGCTTCTATCAAAAGGCGGACCTTGAACAATGGATCATCTCCTATATTTCCGAATCGGATTACAAGGAACTTGTAGATGCCCTATGGGAGCCGTTGTTGGATAAGAATCTGAGTTTCATCATAAAATCGGAGACGGGAAAAATCGTGGGGGTCGCACTAAATTTCGACGCACACGACGAACCAGAAGTAGAGATAAAATCAAAGTTGACTGTGATATTTGAATTTTTGGAAAGCATAGAAGGCCCCGTCAGGTAGGTCGATATTTTAAACCTTTTTTTAGGCTTCACCCACAGTCTCCTACAACTACTGTTGTAGGAGGCTGTGCTTCACCCATATGAGTATTACTCGTATGGCTTTACCTTTTATTTGTAATAATTTTCCGCAGGGATGGTCGGTTACCTTCAGGGAAAGGTCAAGTGCTACACTCTTTCATGATGGCCACACATTCATCCCTCTCTCCCAAAGAAAATGTAGCCGTGATGCAATTCATGGAAGACGAAGTGTTAAATCTTGCGAGAAGCAGGAATTTCGCTGGGATATTTACCACAAATACGAGTCCTCTTACCCAGGTATGTAAAAATACCAGCGACTTCAATTGTGACAAAAAAAATCGACCAATTATTTTCAATTAGCAATTTTTTCAAATTTGAAAAGCGAAGTGTGAATTAGAAGTATTTGCTTATTTTTCAGCAACTAGGGACAGACGTGTACAAATACCAAACGATGCTGGACTATCAAGTTAATGAATATGTAGCCAGTGACAACACAAAACCTTTCGGCTTAGCACCTGATGACCAAAGAGCCATAGTACAATGGAAACCTATCGGATAATTCTCTTCAGCATCACAAAAATGTATACGGTTTATTTATTTATTTATACGTACATATATTTTGTTTATTCATATTTAGATAATATACTGGATGTAATATATTTTTAGTACATCTCTTCTGTATGCAATTATCTACCAATTATTGTATTACTATAAACATTGTTTTAAATGTTACTATGTATAAATATACATTTTAATTTATTTTGTGTTTTTTTGCTTTCAATTAATTCATCAATCATTCAATAACTCATTCATCAATTTATTACGCAGTGCACGAAATCATTGAGCTCGAGTTCTAGGTACGTTTTTTGAACGTGAATCTGTAGGAGAAGAGGTAACTCTAAAACTTGTGTTGAATGCTGTTTCATGTTGGAAAATAAGGCAGATTATTTATGAAAATTTAATGTTGATAAAAGAAATTTAAAGGGACTTCCTTTATTTTTACTTAATATATCAGATTCTTCCTCAGAAACAAATTTCTCCACAGACAAACTATTGACTGATGTTGAAATTAACTTTTCTGAATTGATTTAAATTATTTCTTCATTTCTCATATTTTTTATGATAAATTGCCAAACAATTCCAAAATAATTTGGAATTGAATTTTACATTTCAAATAAAACCTACTTTCCCTAACCTCTAGCTAAAAATCTATATTAATCTTAATGAATTTTAATTCTTATCTACGAAACTGTACAAGTCTAGTCATTTTTTTTGTTGTTGTTTCTTTTCAATCTTTGAGTCACCCGGTATCTTTATTCGACTTGTACTTATTTGCGACGCCCGGTATCTAGATTCTTTTCTATATCTATATAGTGCTGGTAACGCGACGACCAAATTTTCTTGTAGACGTGTTGTTAATTGCCTAACTTCTTTGCAACTTCAAGTTCTATGTGTATTTTGGATTCTGGCAGTTAAATAGAGATAAAGTTTTTTTTTGTGAACTTACTGGATTAATTTGAGCTTGCAGCGGGTACAACTTTGTTTATTATTTTTGTACTTGACTCACTTCGGTTTTATAGCCTTACTAGGTTGGCGTAATTGTTTTTACAATTTTGTCAACTTTTCTTTTTGTTTTAGAATGACGGTTGCCCTTACATGGCTTAAAACAGGTTGACTATGGGAATTTCTGGCAGTTCTAAAATAGATTTATGCTAAATAAATGATTGTTAGATTTTTTTGCTCTAGAATTCACGTTCAGAATGCACGTAATTCGTGTCAGTGAATTACTGGTTGCCTTTATAGGGAGAAATAAATATTGATAATTTTATTTAAAAAAATAGCCTCTTACTTCTGAGGAGTAATGTTTTTTAATGAGTTTATAATCCAAAGTATGTTATAGCTACTATATCACTCTTAAAACACTTACTAAATCAGTATTTACTAAGTCAGTAATTTAATATTTTAACTAAACCTGAATTACCTAAAGGATTAGTAATTAGTACTAATACTAATAGCAATATTAATTAAGTGTAAAAATGTGAATTTTGAAATTTAATATTTATTTTTAATTTTTGTAGTTTAATTAAAAATGGAAAATTGATGAAAATAAATATCCGTGTTTAGGAAAACAAAAAACCTAAAATTTATTTTCCCTGAAGAGGCTACATATGCAAAAGTTACTTGATACTACTTTCCTTACTTGAAATTTTACTGGATTAGTGACTAAAGCTACACCTACATTAGAAATGATATTTGTTTTATTTATTAAATTGAATTTATGAATACTAAGACTTGTTTAACAATATAAATAACAACCATTATTAGTAAATATGCATATAGATATTTACTTACTCATAAAATAAATATATAAAACTTATTACAATAAAAGTTGTGACCTTAATCACTATTATATACAAAGGCAACTGTGGCTCCCTCTTCATCTAGTTTCACGGCTTGTCTACCGCCATTAGAAATTACGCTCAGCAAGCAACTCTCTTTTCGCCTTCGACTCGTTTGCTTTGCCGGCTCTAGTCACGTGCATTTTTATAATTATCTAAGAACATCTCATAGATAAAATGGCAGATGAATATTTTTTCGGTAAGTAAACCTTTAATAAAGTTTATTTTATTCGTATCCACTTTTATTTTCGCGATATCTTTCTTATTTACACTCTGAGCTGTTGGTAAATACTTGGTGGCGAAGCCGGTATTTGCGCGCCATTGTGGCTGTGGATTGTTTACAAGATTTTCTTTATTGTTTGCAGCTCTTACCCTTAAAGGAAAAAGTAGCGAGGTCTGGGATCCCGAAGCAAAAGGGGCTGAAGACTACCAAGGGGGCCACAAATTAATTATCAAACAAGCGTTACTAGGACCAGAAGCCACCGAAGGTCTGTATTATTTTTTTATTCGATGTCCTCCAAATTTCCAGACGCTCTTCTAACAACTTACATGAGCTTTTACTTGAGAATTTTCAAATCAAAACTTGAGCTTTGTTTCACAGGATTTCTAACCTCAAAAACCGCCCATCATTTTGATGGCCATGACTAATTGAAATTATAACGCAATTCACATATTATTTTTCAACTTGATGAAAAGTTCGCTTTTAAAATATGTATTTTTAGGTGAAGTAAATGTAGTACAGGTGGAAGCTATGACATGGAAAGATTCTGTAAAAATACCCGTGGCCACATTGAAGGCTGGAGGACCAAACAATCAAGTATTGTTAGATCTCTCATTCCCAGATCCTCCCGTGACGTTCTCACTTGTTCAAGGCAACGGACCAGTTCACATCATCGGACATCATTTAATCGGGAGTCCGATGGAGGAATTTGATGAAATGGACGAGTTGGAAGAGGAGATGATAGATGATGAGGAGGGAGAAGAAGGAGCTGTAAGTACAGTTTTAATTCATTCAGTTTAACGTACATATGTATGGGGAATATTTTCTTGCACTTTTTATTAGCGGCCTATGGAAATTTATTATTTCAATCGGGATTGGGAAAGTGCCGACAAACAAAGTTTTTTGGATGCTTTTTTACTTTAGTCCTTATATTTTGTGTATATTAAGGAGTACATATCGTTTTTGTGTTGTCATAATTGTGTGATTTTTTATTTTATTTGATTTTGAATTTGACAATAACAAATTTTATGTTTGTTACATTTTGAATAAAGCTATTTAATATTATTTGTAAATACTTGGCATATTTTGCACTTAACAGTAATGCTTTGCTTAGTAATCATAATTTTCTTAAAATGTACATTATGTATATACATTTTTTTCGCTAGCAAAGTTAAATTAATTGACTTGTATACCTACATTACAAATGTATTGGCCCCTCACTAAGGAAAAAAGAAGGGTTTTAGGTCCTAATATACCAGAGGAATTTTTCTAAAACTAATTAAAAAATTACTTGCACTTTTAACAAGTCATCGAGCTCAAACCTTTCTTCAGTCGTGATTTTCTTACAATAAAAAAGAAAAATGTTAACTTACGTTTTCTTTCCTTCTGTTCTTGAAAAAAATGATAAGTTATGTTTATGAACAGTGGATCTAAAATATTTGTGCAGGGTCGTTTTGTAAAAATGTTAAATACGTCTGAGACGCCATCGCCTTCGAAGAAATCGGAAAAGTAAAATATGACTAATTTTTTATTTTTGTTATGGAATACCCTGTATATTTTTAGATATTTTTTTGGTAAGTGTTCTCAAGATTATAGTTGTAGGATGCTCGAGAATTAATATAATATTTTTTAACATTCTTCTGAAAATACCAAATATTTCAAGTTTCTCAAAAATGCACTTAATTGCTTAATATTTTTCAATATTAAAAAAATTAGTTATTTAAAAAAGTAGTTATTAAAGTGTGTCACTACCTGCATAGTATAATAAAAAAAATACTACATTTTTGCTCAATGCCCAATAAACTATCGCCGATATATCGAGATATCTGACTGAAAGGGTTAAAAACTATATTGAAATGATCTTTCAGATCACGATCAGTACAATCGATTTTTCACAATCATTTTATCGTAAAATAAAAATCATAGCGGTTGCCGTCTGCATTTGCGTGACCTGATGTGCACTACGGGGAGGTTGCTATAGATCGGACTTAGCACATCATGGGATTCATCTGTGTACTTGATATTATTTCGAAGCCGCTCGTAGCCTAAAAACCAAAGTTCAGGCAATACGAGTGCATGTGCCTAAAGTCCAGTCACCAGATCAACATGTGCAATAACATCTTATTCCGTTCATTTGTATGCTCATCAACAAACTCTTTATCATTTATCCTCGCGATTTTATCGTCATCTAGTTGTTTCTGGCTTAAAGTTCGGCAAGTCGCCGCAGCATGCATAAAATATTTTGTTGCCTTTAGTGGCTCGAAACAAATACTGCATATTTGAAATAAAATGTTACTTTATGCATAAAAGTATTAATAGATAAGATTAAAATTTTTTTACATTATTTCACCAAAAGGTACTTTTGAATCAATCGATTAATCAAAAGTATTAAATGAAGTTTCTCGTATTTTTGTAAAGGTATTGGTGGATAAATGTTTTTTAAAAAAGTAAACATTAGTTTAATCCTATTTCAAGATTACATGTTGGTTTTATGCATAAAGTAACATTTTATTTCGAAGACCCAGCATTCGCTTCCAGCCACTAAAAGCAACGTAATATTTTATGCATGCTGCGGCGACTTGCTGAACTTTAAGCCAGAAACAACTAGATGACGATAAAATCGCAAGGAAAAATGATAGAGTTTATTGATGAGCATACAAATGAACGGAATAAGATGTTATTGCACATGTTGATCTGGTGACTGGACTTTAGGCACATGCACTCGTATTGCCTGCATTTTNTGCTGAACTTTAAGCCAGAAACAACTAGATGACGATAAAATCGCAAGGAAAAATGATAGAGTTTATTGATGAGCATACAAATGAACGGAATAAGATGTTATTGCACATGTTGATCTGGTGACTGGACTTTAGGCACATGCACTCGTATTGCCTGCATTTTTGCTACGAGCGGCTTCGAAATAATATCAAGTACTTTGATGAATCCCATGATGTACTAAGACCGATCTAGCAACCTCCCCGTGGTGCACATCCGGTCACGCTAATGCAGACGGCAATCGCTATGATTTTTATTGTACGATAATGATTGTGAAAAATCGATTGTACTGATTGTGATCTGAAAGATCATTTCAATATCGTTTTTAACCCTTTCAGTCAGATATCTCGATATATCGGCGATAGTTTATTGGGCATTGAGCAAAAATGTAGTATTTTTTTACTATACTATGCAGGTAGCGAAATCTAAAGCATTGTAGCTTCAGCGAAATGCAACTTTTACCCATGAATTTTTAGGGCTTGACGCCCATTGACGCTATTAATCTACCACTCAAAAGCTACAAAACCCACTTGGTTTCAAGCGAAAACCAATTTACATAAGGATTCTGGCGGGGTCGTTTGCAAAAAAAATTAAAATAGCTGACCCTGTGATAGGGTGTTCCAATTAAAACTACGCACCTGGAAAAATTGGAATTAAAAAAAAAAAACAAAAAAAGCCTGACACGTTGATTTCCTTTTCAAGGGGGACACGTGATGGCGTAAGTTTTGGTATCTTGGAAGCTATCCCTTAGACAAAAGCGTAAAATACCTCTAAACTTTAAATGAGACCCTATGTTGAGTGACACCTCATTTTAAAGGTTTTTTAGTTCTGTTCGCGACGACATACGACTTTTTAAATATTGGTTTAGATACGACAATAAAATCATAACTTAAAGAATAAGACAAGATATTAATGAATGAATATTATTAATATTATATTATATATTATTTTATTAAGTGTTCAAATTGGTTTCCCTCCGCTTCCCTGCAATTATAAAATCTTTGCTCCAGTTCTGAACTAATCAGTTCAACATTTTTACTTTAAACGAGACAATATTGTCTCGTTTTATCTTGTCTAGACAATATTCCGTAAAATTATCACAGAATCGACAATTCCAGTTCGTGTTCAGTTTAAACAATTGCTGGAAAAGTGAAAATAATTAGTTTATTCTACAAGAATACTGACTGCTTGGCAGGCAGAACAAATTTTTAATGACGCAAAGTTTAATTGAGTGATCTCCCAGATCGCCAGATCTAACGCCCTTAGACTTTTTTCTATGAGAGCACTTAAAGTTGAAAATTTATGCAACATGATCGAATCGGCTTTGACAGCGAGTTGTTCAAGAATGTTCTCAGATAACACCCAAAATGCTTCGAAATGTTCTTTTGGAAATGGTGCAAAGGTTTTAAGTGATGATTTTATCGTTATGTCCAAACTAAAATTTAAAGTCGTATGTCATCGTGAGACAGAATTGAAATAGCTTTAAAATGAGGTGTCACTCAACTCGGGGTGCCATTTAAAGTTTAGGGGCATTTTACGCCCCTGCCTAATGGTATCTTCCAATACACCAAAACTTACGCCATCACGTGTCCCCCTTGAAAAGAATATCGAAGTTTATAAGTTTTTTTTTTTTTTAATTCCGATATTTTCCAGGTGGGAAGTTTTGATTGAATCACACAATTCCGGCTGCAATATTTTTTTTTTGTAAATTTTTACTTGCATTATTTTGTAATTTGCGTACATAGGACCAATACGTTTGAAACGTATAGTAATAATTAAAAGGCACTGTAGGGACCAAAAATTATATTTAACGTTCCAACTATTTTTGATTACATCATTTTACGAAATTATGTATTTGTTATCTATTCAAAAACAAGACAAAAAAAACACCAAAAAACTTCATGAAAAATTGTATCTCGTGTCCGACATTTTATTTTCCTGCGTGAGAAATCTAAGATTTGGTAGAAAATGATGCCGTTTCATTCCGTACATTTAAGTAAGACCAGTACTTTATTTTTGTTTTCAATTGGCAAAACAGAATCCTATTCTCATTTGGTATTTTTCGTAAAACATTTTTTTTCTTTCAAAATTTTATTAATTAGGATGTCCATATACCCGAGAAATTGAATTTTCGGTAAGGAAATGGGTGATGTCTCGAGGAATTTCTATGGACATCCTACTTGGTACAGTTTGGCTGATTTATTGACGAGATTCCCGTTTTTAGGAGGAGGGAAGTGATAGAAAACGAAAAATTTCAAATGGAAATTCAAAGGTGTGCAAATAAAATAACGGGACGCCGTTATACCATTTTTGTAATGTTAATTATTTCCGTTTACAGGAAGAAGAGGAGGAGGAAGACGAACCCAAAACCAAAAAAGCTAAAACAACAAATAGCACCAAGGGCAAAACTCCGGTCAAAAACAACGCCAAGGCCAAAAAGTAAACGATAATCCTCTTGTGTTTTATTCAGTAAGTTAATTTCTTTTTAATGTCACGCTGGAATTGGACTCGGTTTATGTAAGGATCCGCGAGGACAATTCCGGCGATTAACTATGTTGCCCCATCAGCGTATTTGTGAAGTTCTTTTAATTCCAAATGTAACTTTTACGTCAACTTAATTCTTAAGCGACACTTTAGGTATTTATTGGAAATTCAGTTGTTGTAAATATACAATCTCATTAAAATAGTTTTTTTCTAATAGTGACGTGTTTTATTTGTCCGTTATTCCGTCGGCATGAACGAGAAATATCCGAGAAATATGACGGCTACGAATTTAACAGCATATCGGACTTTTTGCACCTGGTGCGCGCTCTAAATGCTTTCGTGCTTTATTATTCGAGTTCATATTTTCCTTCTTTATTTTTCGAGTTTAATATTTTTGTTATTTCTATTGAATATATTCGTTCTTTTTCAAGAAATTGAAAACGGAAATTTAGCAACCAAAAAAAAAACAATACTGACGTGGAATAATTTAAGTGAATATTATTATTAGAGGTATAAAATGATTTGTATTGCAAAAAAAAGTAGTGCAATATTTTTTTGAAATTTTCCTGAAATCAGATCGGAAATATTTCAACTGATTCTTGCAATACAGGGTGTTTCGCATAAGAACCAACACGGAGCAGGGGCATGTAGGGGAACCCAAAATATGGTGATTTAACGCAACTTGCCTTTACACTAAGCTGTACCCCTGAAAAGTTATAGGTCTTGAAAGTGAGGTTTCAAATTAAAAAAAAAAATCAATATCAGTGATACTTGAACTTACAAGGAGAAGGTAAGGTAGTCGGATTTTTGTAATTTTTGATATTTATGGTACGGGTAGTTTGGACGTTGAATAAGAATTTTCCGAAGTAGTTCGACGCAACGTTCATAAATTACCGAGATAATCGATTTTGAAGTTTTACCTGCCAGCTAAATCCAGTAGATGCGACACATTCTTCAACTGAGAGCGTGGCCTAGTTGGTAGCATTCGCGTCTGATAGTCACGAGATCGTTTGAGTTTCATCGCGTAACTTTTTTCAAAACGCACCATATGGTTTTTTATTCTAATGACTACTTATGTATATGTTTCAAATATTTCATTAAAATGGTTGTTAAGCAATATTTATTAAGAATTAACAATAAAGTTCCTTTAAAAAAAAAAAACAAACGAGGTCGGGTAGGTTTTTTATTTTATTTTTAGTATTTAGCATTTTACGCAGTGTGGCATAAGCCAGAATGATAATTGTCATAGAAACATGGGAAGCAGACATTTTTAAAGCATCTAGCACGTCGTGTAAATTTTTTATGTTTTTCGACAGGCACATTTTGTTTTCAAAATATCAACTTCGAAGCAAATTTCGTTAACATTTTGAAAGATTGTTCTTTCATCACACAGTTTTGATGCTTCTCTACCCTTTGTAGAACTTACCAAAACTTTTTATTATGCCCGAGCAGGTGTGTTTTGTAAGCGGTTTTTTTAAACACGGTGAACGACCCACACAACCTAGCTCAAAATGTTAATTAAACACTTGAAGAATATTCCTGCATACAGTTCTTATAATATTTCATTTGTTAATAATTTTCGAGATAAGAAAAAGAAAGAAAGCTAGTTGCTTAAAAAATTTCTGCATCCCATCTTTCTACGATAACTACCATTCTGGCTCGTGCCACACTGCGTAAAATGTCAAATACTAACATAAATATAAAATAAAAGAACATCCTACCTGACCTCGTTTGTTTTTTTTTAATGAAACCTTATTGTTAATTCATAATAAATATTGTTTATCAACCAATTATGCATTTTAATGAAATATTTGAAACATATACATAAGCAGTCGTTAGAATATTTCGTTTGTTCATAATTTTCGAGATGAGAAAAAGAATAAAAAACCATATGGTGCGTTTTGAAAAAAAAAATAAAATGTCACGGGACGGACTCGAACCAGCGATCTCATGACTGTCGGACCCGAATGCTACCAACTAGGCCACACTCCCAGTTGAAGAATGTGTTGTATCTACTGGATTTAGTTGGCAGGTAAATCTTCAAAATCGATTATCTCGGTAATTTATGAACGTTGCGTTGAACTACTTTGGAAAATTCTTATTCAAGGACCGAACTACGCGTACCATAAATATAAAAAATTACAAAAATCCGACTACCTTAAATTCTCCCTGTTAGAAAAACCAAATTGGTACTCGGTGTGAGTGTACAAAGAACATTAATCGACAGTAAGTAGAGTACAATTGCGGCATTTTAAAAGGTTGATAAGGGATGATTCACCATTAAAATGTGACAGAATTTTTTAACCCGTTGGCCGATTTAGTAAATTATTTTATGGGGAATTTAATTCTAAATATTTTCTTACTCTTGTTAGTTTTCAAAAAACATTGTCGTTTTTAACAAAGACATGAATAACTAGTAATACATTTGTAGCAATGTTATTTAAAATCGTCGAAAATTCAAAAGTTAGCTATAAATTTAAACGTAAAACTTGACGATCAGGAAAAAAGTTGGAATAAGAATAATTTAATAAAAAAACAAACAACAGAAATAACATGCAATTTACACTGATAAGTTATAGAAATTATTTAAAATTACCGTTTTTATCTCAGGCATAAATTTATTCTTCGTTAAACTCTACTCTATTCAATAACTGCTGATTGTTTCTAATGGATATGCATATATCCGTAATGGGATTCCACAATTCTACTCGAGACGCAACTGGCAAGGAATACACAAATTCTTTTAACGTTCCCCAAAGAAAGAAGTCGCATTTGTTGAGGTCTGGGGATTGTGAAGGCCAAACTTATGGGCAATTATTTCCTTTTCCAATCTATTTATTTGGATGCTGGTGGTTTAGAAAGTCTCTAGTAATATTACTAAAATGAGGGGGTGCTTCATCATGTATAAACCAATGTTCCACTCCGAGTTGTAGTCGTCAAGTAGATCCGGGAGAGTGTTTTGGAGAAATTCTGAATAAGTTTTGCCATTTCGTCCATTCGGTAAAATAACGATCAATATTTTCAACTCACGTTGGAAATGTCGAGCAGCTACTGAATGAGGGTCTACATAGGAATACTCATGATGGTTGTGTAAATTTGTAATAATCTAACACTAATAGCATGTCAATTTGTTTAAACGAAAACTTCCTGGCCATTTTCAAAACGGCAAACACTTACTAAAATTAAATGACTTTCTTTCCTGATCGTCAAGTTTGATATTTAAATTCATAGGCCACCTTTTCAATTTTCGATGATTTTAAATAACGGCTACAATACATATAGTCCACAGTTTAGGCCCCCCTCTGGAAAGTTGATTACCACATACTTTATAACTCCTGAGGCGCATCCTTTTGACGAGTCTACCTCTACCTCCTCTGTGACTTTTCTCGATTCCTTCGCTTTTCCACTCGGAAAAGTCCAAAACAGCAATTTCTCGGGGTCTTGAAAAGTCAAGACCACTTCTTTTATTTTTAGCTTAAGTAACTGGAAATTTTGTTGCAAATGTCGATTTAAATTTGTCCGACAGAAATTCTTCCGACATTGACATGTCTACCGGCGGAAACATGCCAAAATAACGGTATTGAAAATCAATTACAACATAGGTAATTTTTAGTAAAATTAATTGTAAATAATTAATTCAGTTAAAAAGTATTGTCTGACAAATTTCATGCCGCTTTATTTCAGTCTGAATCGGAAATTTAATGGGGTATGATATAGTACATTGTGTAACGAGTGGGGAAAAGTTGCCAATAGCGCCACGAGGACGCAGTTGACGCACGAGCGAAGCGAGTGCGGAAAGCGCCCAAGTGGCGCTATGGCAACTTTTCCGAACGAGTTGCACATACTATTTTCTATCACAAGTGCGAGTCGTTATGGGACCTATAGTGTAGGGGGTTAGATTCACGGAAAGTGCTAGATAGTACAACTGCGTGATGTTATTTTCATAGCGCAACGCTCCAGCGTTGCGCTATGAAAATAACATCACGCTGTTGTACTATCTAGCACTTTCCAGTGCACCTAACCCCCTACACTATAGGTCCCATAGCGAGCTCGCGTGATAGAAA